TTGAATGTGTCTGACATCCCCATTTTTCTATGCCAGTAATGAATATATTTTTTTTCAAAACACCCAGATGGACCAAATAAAATATGCTGATGGGATTTGACCCTCATTTTGCAACTTTTATTAAGATGGACTTGGATCCATGACTTGAAATGAAGAAAGAAAAGAGGAAAGAGCCTCTTGCCATAAGCTTTGGTTTCTTCAAAAAGAAAAGCTCAATCCTGTACCGTTTAATAGAAATGTAATTGAGCCATAGGTGCAATTAAAAAATTTTGAGTAGTCATATTAAAAAAACTCCAGAAGTTGATTAAATCAATTTTAAAATATAGTTTATCTACTCCAAAAATTATCATTTCAACAAATATTAAAATTATTGATGAAATAGTTTATATTCCTTTTCTTTCATTCTAAATCTTTTAAATCGAATGTGTATTTTATATTTATAGTACATTTCACTTTAGCTGCTAGATTTTCATCAGAAATGGCTGATCTGTGTTTAGATCTTATAAAGTTTAGTTGAAAAAGTAGATTCCATACCACGTGGTTCCAAACATATTTAAATTTTCCAGTAACTGAGTTGTGAATAAGAAATGTAGTTGTCCTTCCACATTTGCATTAATATTGACAAAACTGGTTCATCTTTTTTTAAGAGAAGCAACTGGACTTTGAAATCAAAGCCTATCAGTTTGAAACGTATCCAAACTAAGTAATTCACTACCTTCGATGCTAAGTCAACACTGTTCAGACTGCATGCAAAAGGGCCATCATATGGATTGAAAAAGCAACTCTAAACTTTTCTCTATCAACAAAACTTTCTTCGTCCTTTGCAGCTAATTGACATGATGCTGTCAGTTGTGATTACAATCTTCTGCATATTGGCTCATGTTAAAAAATGTGAAAATTAAGATTATTGATGTTACAAAAGCATTACATTTTGACATAAATTCTCAAAGTTGTCTAGTTAGGTCCCTGGTAAGCTTCTTCTAGTCTCTGGAATTTCAAATTTAGCTCTTTTTGCATGTTGCATGATAACAGTGAGAAAACTTGAAATCAAACTGCCAGTTTTTGCCTTTGATTACTGAATATTTGGCAAGCACATCTTCTGTTCAAAGAAATCTTGAATTGGAGTCAATGCTACAATAAATTTTTGTAAGATGCTCTCATGACTCAGCCAATGAGCAAGGAACACGAGATTATGGAGTTCACTGTCTCCGTCTTCCAACATTTCTGTAAACTCTGGTGACTCATGGCATTTGCACGTAAATAGTCAGTGATTTTAACCACTGTATCCATGACACTTTCAGAGTCTGTTCCAGAAAACCAAGCCCAAATATTTTTAATATGTATCACATGGCAGAGCCAAGCATTACGTGAAATCTCAGCCTCTTGCTTCCTATTACAGCAAATCTGGATTTAAAATCTAACATACCTGAAGCCTCATCTGTCAAGATTGAAAGTAATTTCCTCATTTTTAGCTGAAATTCTCCTTTGACAGATGTAGATTTTAAACTGCCTGTTAAGAGTTCGATTTTGTGGGTTTGGAGTTGACATCTCCTTGTAAATTTGAAAATCCTTGAGTCAAATCAAAATGTTAATCGGGCAGTGACCAATCAAACAAAGTATGTATGGTTTTTCAAATCATCACTCAATCGATCTTTGACCTTATTGAAAACGTCTTGAATTCTATGGTCAATTTTTGCTGGTTCAATTGAGGGGCTTACACTTTTTACAAAGTATCTTTTTTAATTTTCATATTCTAATGAGTTTTTAATAATTGAGCTAATAATCTTAAAAAACTCTTCCTCTAAACATGTTTTCCTTTTTCTGTGCAACAATTCCAGCTATCTTACAGCTGTCCAGAGTGAGAAATTGGTTTGTTAAAATTCATTTTCTAATTGGACATTGTTCTGATTTTAGTTGATTTATTTTGTTGACTTTTTTTTGACTGTTGAGAGGAAATTTCCCTTCATATTTCTTAAGCGTTTGACAAGAATATCTGTTCCTACTGTTCACTTTATTACCTTTAACACAGCACACAAAATGCTTTTTTTTTTCTCCTTGCTGAAATGAACGGTGCTCGCCATTCATCGTGAAGTGTACGTCCGGCGTTTTCTTACTATTGTGCTTCTCAGCTCCATTCTGCATCAGTGGGATTCCTCTGTTTTATATCTACAAATTTGCTTATTTTTTGAAAGTAGAAAACCCAACTTATTCCTATTAAAATGAGAACCTCGACCTACAGATGTAACTGTGCAGACATTATAACTTGTAACAACTGCGTAGAATATTCAAATAAACACATCACAGCATCACATTTGTGCAGGTGCAGGGCAGTCCCATCTGGACCATCCGGATGAGGCTGGTGATGAGTTTACGGTGCAGTTCTGGTAAAAGTGCACTGCGCTGACACCTGCAAAGCAACCAACCTGCGAAGGTTAGTTAGGGTGGACTGCAGAAGGGCGGCCAGGACAATGGTCCCGCGATGTCCACCTCTGAATCCTGGAGGCCTTGGAATCTGTTAATTTACACAGCAAGACAGGAAGACCTCTGAAGTGAGTCACCCTGGGTTGTCAAGGTGGGCCCAACATAACCATGACTTAAAAGTTCAGGCACCTGGGTTGAGTGTGGTCAGATGCACCTGTGCCTATGTAGGAGCGTTAGAGACACGTTTGCTGGCCTTTAGGAGGTGGGCAGCCTCCAGTGGCTGGAAAAGCAGGGAAAGGATCCTCTCCAGCCCACGTCAGATTACTCTCCTGACCTTCAGACTTCTTAAGATTAAAAATTGTGTTGTTTTAAGCTTTAAAGTTTCTGGTAATGTTTTATAGTAGCAATAGGAAATGAAAACAATAGTTCTATGAAACAAGTCATCTTCATGGAAAAATATTTTACTGGTCAGGTTTTACGGCTGAAGTTCATGAAACTTAAATAAAAAACAGTCGGTTGCTGAAGGCGCCGGTGCTTAAGTGGGCGCTGGGTATGGGTGCTCTGCACAGCTGGGGACCTGTGTCTGGGGACATCTGACCCGTCAACTGCCTTCCTTGGAGAACGCGATTTTAATTTCAAATTCCGTCTCAGCATTATTTTTGGTGACCCCTGCATCCGGAAATGGTGCCCTGGTCTGCCAAAGGAGAAAGAATCGTAGAAAAAAAAAATCTGTCTGTTTCTTAGGTGGGATGAGGCCGCGGGTGCCCAGCAGGCGCGGGATCCCCCGGACGTCCCGTGAACCTGCCCCGGGGGTTAACGCCGCTCAGAGCAGGAAGTCTGGAGCGGCAGCGAACACTTTCTCCCGGGCTTCTCATTTCCGCGCCCACCCGGCCTCCGCCCAACCACCACACCCAGCAACCCCGCCCGGCCGGTCCGAGCCGAACCCGGGCCCGCGGCGGAGTCTAGGGAGGGCTTTGAGTCGAAGCAGCCCGAGGAGCTGTAGGATGCAGGGGCTGCCAAAGGTGAGCCGGGCAGGGCGGCCCGGGGTAGGGTCGCGGGGGACTGAGTCAGAGCCGGCTGTGGTCTGCTTATCTGTCTCCCATCAAAGCAGACATCTAAGTGCCTCAATTATTCTTTAGGAAAGTAGGGAGGAGTGGTGGGCAAGGACTCAGAGTTCTGGGGGGAAAAATAACCGCAGTGCTTCTTCAGAGGGCTCTTGGGCAGTAAGCAAGCAAGTCCCGCAGCCCCGACCTCAGCTTCTGCTCGCCTGGGCCTCTGGCCCCGCCCCGCCGCCCTCCGGCCCCGCCCACTCCCCCGTCAGGCACGCCCCTTTCATTCGGGCCCTGCCCACCTCATTCCATCATCCGCTTGTCTCTTTACTACTTTTACTCCCTCTCCTTTCTTTTGTTCTTGACCCTGGCCTTTGCCATACGATGAAGTGGCACAAAACTAAACCGGGGGGAGGTGCCACTCATTCGATTTTCTCCTTAAAATTTTAAGCAATATATGATGTTTCTCAAAAACATCTGAAAAGAATAAAGCATGAAAAGAAAATAAATGCCACCTGTAATTGCCTAATTAGAGAAAAGCACTTGCTCTTGAAAGCTGTGGGGTATTTCTCTGAAATCTTCGTCGTGTTATGTGTGCGGCAGGCGAAGGTTGGGAAGTGTGTTTACAAAAATGGAGGGCTGTGGGCAGTTTTACGCCCCTGCCCAGCCATGGGAGGCTGTGTGGCAGACGTTCTCTCACACTGCTAAGAATTTTCCAAGGCCCTGCCTGTTGGTGGCTGCGGTTTTCTATCCTATGGACGTGCTGTCATTTCCTTGTTTACAAGGTTTCCAGCTTTTATTTCTCCACAGACATCATCAGCAGACCATAAAATGACCTTGAGGAAGGAAGCTGTACACTGAGAACAGGAAACCTAAGGATAGAAAAAGGCACACAGGTCTCAGAGAACACCACGCAGCCTCCACCCCCAGTTCTGCGCTCCCTCCCTCCCTCCCTCTCAATTCGGTGCAAATAAAAATAATAATAAAATAAACATCAGGATTACTTCGCACGTCTCGCTAGTTGTCTAGTGTAATTCCTACAACAGATTGCTTTACTTAGGCAATGAATATTTATTGAATGTCTACTTTGTACCACTTCCCACTGACGTGGGACTACACTACCATAGTGAACAAAGTGGAAAAAATCTGACCCTGTAGAGCAGAGAGGCGGGATATCCAGAGAGCAAACAGGTAGCATAGCTAGTGCGTTAGATCGTGATAAGAACTGCGGTTTCCTTGGCAGTTCCTTTCCTTAAAGGACAGAGGGGTGTGCTACGTTCTGCTAAGGGGGGGTAGTGTTGGAATTCTGGGAAAGGTGTCTGGAAAAAGCCCGACTACGACAACCATTCTCATCCGTGCAAATTAACAATGGCAGCTTCAATCTTGTTATAGCACTTTTCACATTCTTAAAATTAGAAGACTATTTTAGAGTCAGTTGCTAACTGGGTTTGTAGAAGAGTCACTGACTGAGTCTCCTCTTGCGGTGTTGGTCTTTGACATCTGTCACTTCAGAGCTTTTTTCTGTTGTAGGTGAAAACACTGAACTCAAAAAGACTTCAAGGAAGAAGAAAACGTTTTGCTTCACAAAATTAAAATATCCAAGGGATGGCGGAGGCATGGCTCCATCCAGGGCTCAGGTATGCCACCAAGAGTTGCCCTTCCTTCTCCTTGTTGTGGTTTATCTGCCTGTGTTAGCTCTCAGGTGCCTCTTCCCAAGGCTTACAACAAACATCCAGGGCTTGCTCTCATTGGATGGGACTGGGTCACATGTCCACCCTTGAACCAATCGCTGAGGCCACTGCAGCCAGATCAGGCTGATGGTTGAAGCTGGTGCCATTAGATCCCTTCTGAAGCTGGTGAAGTGGGTCAGCTCCAAAGACTTGGAGCTGGGAAGGGTGCTTGTCCCCAAGAAACCCCAGAAACTCTAACCAGAGAGGTGAAGGATGCTGGACAGGCAGGCATGAAGAACAGCCGCTCACCCAGCAAGCTTCTGTCCTGCTCCTTCGGCCTTGCAGCCCTCAGCCTTTGGGAAAAGTCAAATCCATTTCTCCAGTTTTCCTTTTGCCTGGTGATTGTTTTCTCCCATTTTGCAAGTGAACAACCAAATGCATAAAGACCATAAATTATAAACGAGCAGTTCAAATGAGGCGGGTGATGGCAATCAGTGAAATCTAATTAAGCAGTTTGAGATCTAAGTGATATTGTTATTAAAGTGCCACATTAACAGAGCGTTTGATCAGCTTCTCATCTGTTCTGCGTGTTAGTTGGAAGCAAGCTCCATGCTGATTGACAGGGAGATCGATTTCTTTCTGCGGGAGGAGATAAAGAGCAGCTCCATTGCAGGGCTGGAATTGGGGATGCGAGTGTGGCCTTATAAACCGCCACTCTGGTCCTGGCTTCCCAACTTCTTTGATAGTTATCAGGCACAGTCAGGGCTGGAGAGTTTTCGAAAGAAAAGCTCTTCCAGAAAGCATGAACATTTGCTGTTTAAGATCTCCTGGGGTGCCCCCCTCCCCCTCCCCTCTCCTTCCTCCTCCTCCCCCTCCTCTTCCTCTTCCTCCCCCTTCTTAAACAACAGCAATGTATTTTCTCAATTTGGAAACTGGATGTCCAAGATCAAGGCGTAAGTTCGGTTTCTCTTGAGGTCTCTCTCTTTGGTTGTAGATTTCCTGGGGCATCTCGAGCTTAGCCCTCGTGCCCACTTTTTCAGAAATTCAAAATCATTTATCAGGAGTAGCCAATGCTGTGCTTGCGGGTGGTGACACATTGGTGGGGAGATGGGCATTTTCTCTGCCTTTCTGGAGCTCTGGGCCTGTCCTGGTGGTGACCGTCTGTCTTTTAGGGCAAACATAGGAGGACTAAGGGAACAAAGAGCTGCCCAGAGCTTCTGGGGCCCCCAGGTGAATGTGGTGGACACTCCTGTCTCACTGGAGAGGTCTTCCCGGGGCCACTGCTTGACTTGCCCCCTTCTACTTTTTTGAGTTGAGGCAAATTTGGTTACACTGTAACACTTTAGTTCATGAACGCTTCTGTTTCTGACCAATACAGCGCACAAACAAAAGTGTTCCACAAAATTTGGCTTCTGTTTGCAAATTCCACATCAGGTGCCAAACACGATCATGGCCGTCTTCCCCACACAAGCACAAACACAGCTATCTTCCCCCAAATTGTCAAACAAATTAAGTTCATAAACCCAGGCAGCACCGTGTTTAAATTCCAGCTGGGGATGGGTGAGTTACTTCCGAAACAGCTGGGGAAGAAACAAGCAACTGCAACATCCTCTCTGAGCACCTGGGCTCCTTACTTGGAGAAACCTCACTCTCAGGTTCATAGCACCCTGTGTTCTCCTTTCATGGAGGCAACTGAGGCATGTAGGGGCTGGGCCCAGTCCCCAAAGTCACAAGGTCACACAGGCAGGAAACAATGGCTCAGATCAGACCCAGGACTGAATCCCGGGTCAGTCTGCGCAAGGTCAGGCTTAGGGGTTGGTGCTTCTCTTATGTACGTGTGTGGTGCTGTGCTTGGGATTGGCCTTTGTTACATCCCTGTTGCTTTTTAAAATTTTAAAATGTCGAGACAGGGTCACCTTAAGGGCCCAAGCTGGGCTCAAACTTGTGGATCCTCCTGCCTTGGCCTCTCAGAGTGCTGGCATTAGACGCAAGCAATATCACATCCAGCTTTGGGTTGGGTCTTCTGCACCTCAGTGAGAATGCTGAGAATTGAGCCACACCCATGGAACCTCCTCCAAGGTCAAAGTTTGCCTTTGTCTGCAAAGCTTTCTCTTCGGGGACACTGGGGCTCCCTTGCCGAGCTCTCTGAGACTCCAGCTGCCTCTGACCTGTAGAACATGAAAATGTGTCTGACCCGCACAGTGTAGGGTCCGAAGCCCGGGAGAGTGGTGGGAGGTGAAGAAAGATGATGAAGACCAAGAGTACCCTAACTGGGACCAGGTGGAACCATAGGTTGTGGGGAGCTCATGGACACCATGGCTCTTTGTTTATAGTGGAAGGCAGACGAGAGAAGGCGGGGCAAATAGTGCTACATGGTCTACCTGGCTTCTGCAGAAGTAGAGTGATTGATTTGTGATTGCGCATGTGCAAGAAGGGACCGGGGAGGGATACCATGTAACTGTCTCCTGCGCTGTGCCACCCAGGGTCCACAAAATGAGGAGAAAGGGAGCAGAGAGGGAAAAGGAGCAGGGAGGAGAAAGGGCCATCATCAGGTTCGGCCCGCAGCAGAAATGGACTTGCCGAGAGCCCCCACATTGTGTAAATTATCAAATGAAACCCTTCAGCCCCTTGCTTGTGATTTGGATATTGAGACAGAGGGAAAATGTAGAGGAGAGGTTCTCTTTGCCTCTTTGGGAAGGCAGGAGCCCCCCTAAGCAGCAGGAGTCAGAGGAGGCACAGGAAGGAGGGAGGATGGGCAGATAAAACTGCAATAACCAAGCCAGAGTGCAGTCAGAAGAAAAATGGAGAACTTTCCCAGCCTTTCCAGGAATTCCTGAGCTTTCCGTCCTTGTTGTTGCTGGGAGCAAGGGATGTGCTGAGTGCTCTGGATCAGTGGAATGGGGAGGGCAGAAAGGAGCTTGTTCGGCTCAGAGCAGCAGGAATGCACCGTCCCGTCTGGGGCAGAAATCCAAAGTCAAAGTGCTGGCGAGGCTGTGCTCCCTGCAGAGCTCCTGCGAAGGACCCTTTGTGCCTCTTCTGGGTTTGGGGGCCCCGGTGTCCCTTGGCTTGTGGTAGCCTCCTTGTCTTCATGGGCCCTGTTCTCTTCTTCCAATATGTCCCCTTGTCCTTAAAAGGACACCAGTTAGGTTCCACCTCAGTTAGACACCTGAGCTCATGAATTTGGGGACGCCATCCAAGCCACTTCTGAGCCTGATGGGGCTGTTTAGAAATGTTAAATATTATCTCTCTTATTCTGCCTTGTATCTCCTCCATTGCTACTTGAGTTGAGACTTTCTTGGGATCCCAAGTGTATTTGAAAGCGAACTCCTCAGCCAAGTTTGAATTTCAGCTGCAGGGTGACATTTAATGACCATGGACCAGGCAGGGAGTCCTGGAAGTCCAGCCTCATGAAACATTCATGTTAAGTAGAGATCTGCCTGGGCAGCTGGCTGGGTGCTTGCAGGAGCCAGGCCGGTCTTCATCCAATGCTGTCGATTCAGGGACACGGCTCATCATCTCCTGCCAACTATAACAACCCTATGGAAAGCTGCCCCCCAGCAGCACCCTCCGAGCCGGGGCTCTGCAGGGACCTTTCCAGGGTTTCCGGGCCTACACGGTGGCCACCATTATCTTGACTTGGAAAAGAATCGAAGTCTGTCAGGTGTTCAGGGCTGAGCTGGGATCTGCATTCATCCTCTGATCCTGTTTCTTCACATCCATTGTTCTCAGTCGCTGCACCTCTAAAATGGGAGTTCATTTTCAGACGCCAAATACTGATTGCTTGCTTCTGTGTGTTGGACACTGGGGCTGCATGGTGAGCTGGAGAGCGGTGGTCTCCTTCCTCACAAAGCTGTCCTTTAAGTAAGAGGGACAGATCACGAGCAAACAACCGAGCCTGGGCGCCATGGGTGAGAGAGAAGCAAGCTGAGGATGTGGAGAGGTGAGTCTGGCACTCACTGTTGTGTTGGCCTGAGCAATCAGGGAGGACTGTGTGGAGGAGGGGCGGGGATAGAAGAAAGCAAGCGGAGAGCCTGTTTGGGAGAAGACCAAGGCAGACAAGGACAGCTCAGGTGTGCAGGGGGCAGATCGAGGGACTGGAAGGGGGTGGTGATCGAACTGGTGGGGTTGGGGACAGATAACCCACAGTCTGGTAGAAGGGGAAGGTCCTTGTGGCGTGTGCCGATGAGCTCAGACTCCCATGGTAAAAGCATCACTCCAGCTATGGTTTGGAGAGGGCACAGTGATGCGAAGTCTCAGTGACATCTGTCTCCTCCCCCCAGTCTTCCAAGACAGGAGCCAGGGAGACCCACTGGGAGTGATGTGGGCCGGGGCAGGGTGGCAGCTGAGGTGGGGGGACACAGCAATTTCCAGGGAGTGTACAAAGCACTGGGGGGAGGGTGCTGATTCCCCCAGGGCCACGGGAACATCCGTTCTGCAGTGTGCACTTTCCCAATGATGTTCCCTTTGGAAGTTGCTCTGTGTCTACTTCCTGCCAACCTGCAGGGCACAGGAGACTGAGCAGTAGGTCTCAGTGTCCTAGTATTTCCCGAGTCCTACCCTCCAGCTGCTCTCTGGACCCCTCTCCAAAAGGAGAACACAGGCAAGAACAAAGTAGGTGTCTTGGCATTTACTCACCCGTTCGTTCATCATTCATTCAGCAGCTGTTATGCCCGTTGTGCTGCAGAAGCACAGAGCCCAGCCTGCGGGGTGCAGGCCCAGCTGTCTGCAGATTTCTGCCTCGTCCCACCATGTGGGGGACAGTGCTCCTGAAAGGGTCGGACTCCACACCTTCCTGGGCAGAATGGAACTCAGAGGTTGGGGCACTCGCTCTTGGCTCCCAATGGCATATCTATAATTCCTGTTTATTTGACTGGGACTTACGTCCCTGCCTGCTTCCTAAAGACTGTGAGGCTTTACAGCAAATGACAAAAGCAGTGACAAATCTGCAGTGATGCATAGATTGGACTGGCACCTGTCCCCTCCCTTCACTCTCGCCCTGTCCTCAGCAGAAGATGGTGGTGTGAGTGACAGAAAGACCCGACCACAGGGGACAAGGGTCCCCTCTAACTCAGTTCGAAGCGCCTTCTCCCTGCTGGGCGTTTCCCCCTACTGTGTTCCCCGCGGAGAGCCAGAGTCCATGTTTTACCAGGAAACCTGAGGTCAGGGAGGTCCGGACGGCAGCTTTGCAGGAGCCACAGGGAGCACAATCCCAGAGGGCGAAGCCCTGTGGAGGGAAGCTGGGTGTCCCCAGAGAAGGGACACTCCAGGCCCCGCCAAGAGCTCAGAGGATATCCACTCTGAGCGGGTCCTGGGGACACAGAGATGCACAGACCCCTTGTCAGGCTGGAGTCAGAGCTGGGAGCCTAGAGGTGGCTGTGCTCCATTAGGCAGGGCCTCAGGGGCAGCGCCAGGCTCCCAGGCTGTGCCCAGCACAGGATCCGCTTGTGTGTCCTTGGATGTGTGCCCCGCCGCAGTGCCCCAGCCCCGATCCTCCCTGGCTTGTGTCCTGGGTGAATCAGAGAGGGTGTTTCAGGGAGCAGGGAAGGCAGCTTTGTAAACTTCCTGCGCCCCGCTTGGTGGGACTGGAGAGAGGACTCCAGAAAGGACCCCAGCTCTGGGGCAGGGAAGGCAGGTGGCCACTCCCTCACAGTGGTTTAAACTTGAGCATTTCCAGTATTGCAAACCCATCAGTCAGGGGCTGCCGCTGAGTTTTATTATTATTTCTCTCCTTCTAAAGGTCAGCGACGCACTGAAGCTGATTATGTCCCCAACCATGCAGACAGGCAGATCGCGAGCACCGCGCGCTGGATGGCTTGGCGCGGGCTGCAGAGTCTCCCCGGGACCCGTCCATCACCGGCTCGCAGCTGGCACTTGGAAATGAGAGAGACTCGTTCCATATTCCCAATCAATGTCCGTCTGCCATCTCTGTCGATAACTGCCGGGCGGTCTAATCTTTCCCCTGACAGAAAGGCGCCTGGGGGTCAGCCTGAAGATGCTCTGGAGGAAAAAAGCAGTGGTTTGATGCAGAGCCTTCTCGCGGGGCTGGAATTAAGTTGGCTCTTTCTCTAATGAAACTGACTCCAAGGGTCTCTGTGAACCAGAGATTCGGCGGCTCTCAGGAGGAGCGGTGATGGGCAGTAATATTAAAGCTGTGTGCATGTGCGGCCCTGAATCCTAACCACTTGGATGATGTTTGCAAGGTGCTTCTAGCCCTGCAGGAAGCAGGGTTTGCCACGCATACGAAAGGCACACCGTGGGCACACAGTGAGGGCAGCCCAGCCCGGCCCTCGTTTCCCACCTGCCGGTGAAGAGAGCGGGCAGGAAAAGGCTCAGGATCTCTCTCAGGGGAGCATCTTACCCTACCCACACCATTCATGCTCACAAGTGGGATTCCCTGTCCCATAGGAATTTACTGGGAGGATGAACGGAATCTCCCTCTGGATGAAGATCTAGACTAGAGTCCAAACGACAAGGAGCCACCTCCTGCTACCACCCCAGCCACAGGGCTTCTGCCCACCAGGGCCAGTCCCCAGCTTCTCAAGCACCAGCACCTCCCGAAGCGCCTGAGATCCTCATGGATGAATTCATCTCCCCTGCCCAGCATCCTCTGACACCTAGGGAGCCTTTTCCTGATACTCAGGGCTTCTCCTGTGCTCCTTCCCACCAACCAAGATCCCTTGGTTTCCAAGTTGACTGCTGCTGGCGCAAGGGAGGATGGAAGATATCAGTTGCACATGAGCTGGCGTTTTAAGCCGACCTTCCCAACTTGTGACCAGCCCGTGATGGTGTGTCAGAAAGGACAGTGTCCACCGGCGTGGCTGCAAAACCAGAGACCCTGCAAACATCACTGGTTCAATCAAAATAGAAGGTGCTCTGTGTTGTAAAGATTCCTGTAAGTGAGCTTCCAGGGCTGACATGGTAGGTCTGCTCCAGGAAGCCCCAGGGTCCCGAGTGTGGACAGCTGTGCTGGGAAAGAGGTAATGTGTTCACTCCCAGATGGGGACCAGGGTAGGTAATGTGTTCACTCCCAGATGGGGACCAGGGTAGGAGGATTTCCTCTACATTGGAGCTGGTGATGTTTATAAGTAGGGACTCAAACTACAAGGTATCTGTCTAACTTTAAATTTCAGACAAACAGCAACTCATCTTTTACGGTAGGTATGTCCCAAATATTTTGTGGGCCACACTTATACTAAAATGTTACTCGTCGTTTATCTGGGAATTCAAATTTTGCTGGACAGCCTGTCTTTTTATTTGCTCAGTCTGCTGCTCTGGCGATAAAGGGAGCTGTAAAAAGGGATGCAGAAAGTGCCCGAGTGGAGGTGGGAACACTGACCAGGCATGGGCAGACACCCTGCTGCTCGGAGAGGGGTTTGTCCGGGAGCAGGCACTCAGCCCTCCTCCCACCTCTCTTAAGCATGTTGGTTTTCCACCCACTGTTTTGGTTACCACGGGTGGTCTGCTAAGAATCCTCATAATTCCTCCACAGTCAGAGAACTTGAGGCAGCCACATTTATCAAACTGTGCTGATAAATAACGTATAAAAGTGCATTTACTGGGGATTTATGTGCTACCCCCCCACCAGTGATTTGCAGAAATTTCAGACCGTGCTGATGAATTACTTTTTTGAGGACATTTTATAAAGTTCATCTTAAGGAAAAATATCAGGACAATGGAAAAAAAATAAACAAAACCAAAAAGCTCTGAGAGGAGCAGTAGAAGGCAGGTCCGTGTGTGAAGTGAACTCTAGGGAGACAAAAAGCAATTTGGCTTCAGGATGGAGACCAATATCAGATGTGCAGAGATCTCAGAGTGGTGTGTGGAATTTAATTTATACAAAACACAAATCAGGGCATCAGTGCACACTTTAAACAGTGATTCTGTAGGCTAACAGTCTCTGTGGGTTTTCACTGTACCTTGAATTCTCTTAGTGGAGGTGGTCAGCAGGTCCCAAGCCTGAGGTACTAGTGCTCAGCCTTGGTTAATCAGGGGAAATCCCTGGGAGATTTTCACATCTCCAGATGCCCAGGATACATCCTAAGCCACGACATCAGAATCCCAGGAGTCGGCCCCTATGTCAGGATGCTGTGCGCTGGCTGCTAATGCCTGTGTGCAATCAGGCAACCATAGGTGGGAAGGACTTTCTTCCATTTTCTGGATGGAGAACAGAGCCTTGTTTTGGTAGTTGTCCTGGCTTATATCTAGATGCCCCCTGAAGCCTCATGTGCTCATAGTGGGGGCTTTTGGGAGATGACTGAATTTTGGGTATGTGTTGCTGGATTAGTCCTCTGCTGGTTTGTGGCTGGGTGTGATTTGGGAAGAGGTAGATGGTTGTGGGTGTGGCCCAGAAGGTATTGATCCTTGCTTCTCCCTTGATGACTCTCTGCTTTCTGCCTGCCACATCATGAACTACTTCTCCTCTGCCTTGAAACCAGCCAACTATAGATGGAAACTTCTACAAAACAGTGAGCTAAAATAACCCTTTTCTCCTTTAACTTTGGGTGTCAGGTATTTTGTCCTAGCAATGAGAAAGTAACCGAGAGAGTTGTACTGATGGGAGTGAGATGACAGTCAGATCCCTGACTCACTCCATATCCACAGTGTTTGTTGTGAAACAGCGTTTGAGACACAGGGCAGCCAGAACTGTGCACTCATCTGTACTGGCAGGAATGTATGTACCATGTGGCAAGTGCTGTGTCAAACACGTCACACCGATTATTATATTTAAGACTCACTGTAGCTCTATGGGGTGGGCACCTAGCCAGTGAGGAGTCCGAGGACTGGTGAGGTTGAGGGATCAGACCGCAGAGCTGGTAAATGGAGTCCAGATGGAATCTGGCTAGCCGGTCCTCTCCAACAGCACTTTCTGGACTGCAGTGCAGGAGGGGAGCAGGGGATCACTGGTCACCAGGGGAGGTCTTTGAATCAGAGTTGACTCAGCAGGGCTGGATGGGGCCAAGACTGCATTTCTCACAATCTCATAAGGGAAATTGGTTTGTCTGGTCTGGGGACTATATTTTGAGTTGTAGTGGTAAAAAACTATGACTACTACTGGTTGCTTTTTGCTTATTTGTTTCACTTTTCAAATAATTTCAGAAAACAAGTGAGTACTGAGGATAAGGATGGGCTTTCTGGGATGTCCTTAGCTGGGTTCAACAAGATCACTATGACTTCATAAGATAAAATTAACTCATCGCAATGATATTGGGGAAACATCACTTTGTTTGGATATAGCTTCCTTCCGACTGCTGCTGCAGCCTTCTTTATAGCCTGGTTGACTCATGAGATGGTCTCAGTTTAAAAATGTTGATTTTAGAGTAAATTCCCCTATTAATGCAAAATGGGCCCCTTCCTTTGTGTAGCTGGGATCCCATAAGGATACCCAAATATGGCAGTGAAGTGTGTGTCTTAGCTTGGGTTCCTCCGAAGAAAACCTGAGTTGAACTTGGGGTAGAAGTAGTTCCTTGGGGAGGCAATCAGAAAGCACAGCAAGGGAGTAGGGCAGTGGTGCTGGGACAGCGGGGTGTAGTCCTCCTGGGGCCCCTCTGAGAGACTCGTGGACCCCTCCCTGGAACCGTCACACTGAGGGCCAAGGGAACCATGGTGTTTAGGCACTGCCTCCCCCGACAGCCAGAGAGACACAGATAGCTGAGGCAGGGTGCTGTGTGGTGCACAAGCCACTGTGTCCACCGGATGAAGCTGTTCCTGTGTCCTGGGCTGAGGAGCAAGGCCATGGCAGCAGCTCTGATGGGTTGGTTGAAAAAGAGGGGACTCACACCCAGCTTCTGTGATTAGGCTCATTTCTAGGGAGAAACTGGACCTCCTAGGAACTGAGGACTGGCCAAGGAGTGCTTGGACAGCCCAAGAAGACAGATCATCTGGCACTTTCCTTAGAAGTTGACATGGAGGCCAAGGCAGAGAGGCTGAGTGTGAGTGTGTTTGGGGGGGGGACACAAAATGAGTCACTCTCGGTGTTAACTAAGCCCTGATTTTGGAAGAAGACATGATCGATAAGATCAGACCTCCAGGAGCTTGCAGCCAGTTTGGCGAGGCGCTAATGTGACACCATCTCCGTCACTTTTCTCATTGCTGAGACACAGTACCTGACATCTGCAACTTAGAGGAGCAGAGCTTTATCATGGCTCATGGTTTCAGAGAGTTCAGTCCATGGTCAGCTGGCTCGAATGCACAGCGTTGGGGAAGGGCCTGCTGGAGAAGAAAGCTGCTTGTGTCATGGTGGCCAGAAAGCAGAGAGAGAAGGGAAGATCCTGGAAGGAAGATATACCCTTCTAGGTCACACCCTCAGCGACCTCTCTGCTAACCAGACCTGCCTCCCACAGCACAGTCAGCAGTGGATTAATCCACTAATTGGTTGAGCACCCTGTGACCCGGTCACCTCCTGCGAGCTCCATCCCTGAGAATGTGGGTGTTTGGGGGAGCATTCTGGATCTAAACCATGGCAGATACACTCCAAAGAATATGAATTTTCATCATCCATAACTTTTACGAGATCATTTAATGGCAGGGCCGGGGCTGGAGTAAATGAGGCACCTGGGGACATAGAATGCAAGGAGGTGCTCACTTTTACGGTCACACAGGTGCCCCATTAAATTACCCTGGCTCCATTCCACTTCTACAGACTGCTTTCTGGGATCTTGGTTAGGGTTATTGAACATACAAATCAATTTCAGGAGAATCAAAATCTTAACATTACCTAATCTTTTGGTCCATGAAATCTGTATCTTTCTATTTACTGTATTTAGGTCTTTAACTTCTACTGTATTATTTTGTAATTTTAAATTTATAAGTCCTGCACATCTTTTGTTCAATTTGTCAAAAGCATTGTATATTTTTATGCTATTATAATTGCTCATTGCTAGTATATGAAAATGCCATGAAATTTTGTTTACTGATCAAACTGTCGAAGTTCAAAGCTTTTTTGGGAAGATTACCTAGGATTTCCTATTTGTGCAATGGCGTTACCTAAGCAAAAAAATCAGATTTAACTCTTTCTTTCCTGTTTGTGGGACTTTATTTCTTTTTCTTGCTTTATTGCTCTGGGTAGGACCTTCAATACAAATTTGAATATGGTTCCAAGTGAAATCACACATTCTTGTTTTGTTCTTGATCTTGAAGGAGAGATTTTAGTTTTTTATCATTAGGAATGTTGTTAGCAAAAGATTTTTCACAGATACATTTATTAGGATCAAGAAACTTCCTTTTATTCCTAGTTTGATGATGATTATTATTTTTCTTTTTCATTTACTACTTATACACATATTAATTATATAGCAAATTGGGCCGGGGATTTAGTTCAGTGGTTCTGCTACCTGCCTTGCAAGCTGAAGGACCCAAGTACCAAAAAAAAAAAAAGTAAATATATACAAACTAGGTTTCATTGTGGCACTTTTAGACTTGTGTCTAACCTACTTTTAATTGTATTCATCTCCCCTTCAACGCTCCCTTGCGCTTCTTCCTCCCCTTCCTTTGATCCTTTTCTTCTCTAATAATCTCCTTTCTATTTTTATGTCCTCTTTTTTTTTCCCTAGATGCCACAAATGGAGGAAAATAGGCAATATTTGCCTTTCTGAATCTATCTTATTTTTCTTACCGTGATGATCTCCAGTTTCATCTGTTTTCCTTCAAATGACATGACTTTGTTCTTCTTTATGAGTTAGTAACACTCTATTGTGTATATATACCACATTTTCTTTATCCATTCATCTATGGATGGCCACCTAGGTTAGTCCCTTATCTTACAATTGTAAATTATGCTGCAATAAACATGGCTATATAGGTATCCCTATAGTATGCTGACTTTAATATTTTTTAGGTATATACCAAAGAGTGCCATAGCAGGATCATTATGGCAGTTTTATTTTTAGGTTTTTGAGGAACCTCCATACTGATTTCCATAGTGGCTGTACTAACTTGCACTTCCAGCAAGAGTGTGTAAGTGGTCCTTTCCCCCTGCATCTTTGCTAGTGTTTATATTGTTCTTTGTATTGTTGATGACGCTTATTCTCACTGGGGTGAGATGGAATCTCAATGTAGTTTTTCTTTTTTTTTTGGTACCAGGGATCGAACTTGGGTCCTTGTGCTTCAAGGTAGGCAGCAGAACCACTGAGCTAAATCCCCAGCCTCAATGTAGTTTTAATATGCATTTCCCTAATGGCTGAAGGTGCTGAACATTTTTTACATAATTACCAGCCATTTGTATTCCTTTTTTTGAGAAGTGTCTGTTCAGTTTATTTGCCCATTTTGATGAGGTTATTTATTCTTTTAGTGTTAAGTTTTTTGAGTTCTTTATATATTCTCTATATTAATCCTCTGTTTGAAGAGTACTTGACAAAGATTTTCTCCCATTGGTTATCTGTCTACTCTGTTAGTTGTTTCCCTTGCTGTGCAGGAACTTTTTACTTTGATGCAATCCCACTTGTAGATTGCTGCTATTATTTCCTGAGGTTTTGGAGTCCTATTTGAACATCTTCGCCTGTGCCTGTGACTGAATGTGTATTTGCTGTTTTCTTGTAGCAGTTTCAAGGTTTTAGGTCTTTGATTAATTTGGATTGATTGACTTTTAAAATTTTTTCTTTGTACATGTTTGTGGTACATCATGAATACATTCATTGTGAATAGCTGGAACATGTACATCATACATCTTTTTTGTGTGTGCCCTTTCCTCCATCTCATTAGCTTATCAGAGCACTCTAATTTTTTGATATGTGCATTCTTGGTTATAAATTCCCCTTTAGAACTGACTTCACTGTATTCCAGGTTCTAGTTTGTTGTGTTTCTATTTTTAATTGATTTTGGAAATTTTTACATTTCTTTAATGATCATTTAAAGGTGAACTGTTGAATCCCCATATATTTGTATAGTTTCTGTAATTTCCCTTGCTGTTAATTCATAGTTTCATTTAATTATAATGTGATAAGATATAGGACATTATTTCAAATTTTGTTTGTATTTGCTAAGAATTACATTATGGCCTAAAATATGAACTATTTTGGAGAAAGATTATGAGCTGCTGATAAAATGTGTACTCTACATTTGTTGGGTAGAATATTGGGTAGATGTTTGTAAGTCCATTTCATCTATGGTGTAGTTTAATCTTGACGTATCTTTCCTGGTATTGTTTTCAGGATAACAAATGTGTCATAGTTACTTTTCTTTTTGCTGAGACAAAATACCTGACATCCAAAGTTAGGAGAAAAGGTTTAATTTGGCTCACAGTTATAGAGGTTTCAGTGCACAGCTGGCTGGCTGTAAGGCAAGATGGCATGGCAGAGGGCATCACAGAGGAGAAACAGTCCATGGCAGGCAGAAGGCAGCAAAGCAGTGAAGCAGCAAGCAGCAAGCAATGGCAGCTGTCCTCTTCCTGTCTACCCTGGCTACATGCCATCAGGATGGGAGCCTTCCCATTATCCACACCAGAACTATGCCAAATGAATCAGTGGACTAATGTAGTAACCACACACCCTTAAGACCTAACATAACAATGTGTCTCACAATCTCTGGCATGTTCAACAAACCTTTCCCATAAGGGGTCAGAGATGATCTGTTTCAGATTTTGTGATCCAAATAGTCTCTGACTCAGTTGCTCCACTCTTCCTTTGTAGAGTGAAAGCAGCTCCAGCTATGGAGTGACAAACAGGACTGGCTATGTTCTAATACAGTGCTATTTGCAAAAACAAGAGCAGGGTAGGTTTGGCCCACGAGCTGCAGTTGACTGGGTCTTGAGCTTGGATATGCTGAAACAGTGGTAGCAATTATCCCTGCAGCACCTACAACTGCCGCTGTACCACAGTAGGGAGGTACAAGATGCCGAATGCTCAGCTGTGCTTTATAATCTCATTTGAACATCCCTGCAACCCAATATTGCGCTTCCAAGTGAGAAACCAGGTTCAGAGAGGTTAAGGTGCTTACCTTGTGTCCTTCAGCAGTGGATGTCAGAGTGGGAACCGGATGTAGGCTGCTTGTTGGCTCATGTGGCTGTCTCTGGGCCTGGCTGAACCAGGTGTGCTTTCCCCTGCGCTCTTCTCACTCTGCAGTGGATGCTGCCAAATTAGTTAGGTATCGGGTGACAGTGACAGGGAAAGCCGACTACTACTCACTTCCAAAGATCAGCTACCTCGCCCCCTTTTCAGGGTAAGGACTGTGGATGAGTAGGACTCCATCAAACTGGGGTTGGTCAGGTAATTTCTGGTACAACCTCACAGTGTTGTTGTACTATACAGATGTTAAAAGAACTGAGGTATTTGTATCCACATGCATTGACTTAAAAAGCCATTCAATATGTTTTGTTGAGTTCTAATAGTTTATAAAGCCTGTGTACAATATGATCCCATTTATGTTTTATACACACACACACGCACACACACACACACGCACGCGCACACACACACACACACACACACACACACACACACACATGCACCCTCCTCACATACTGCACAGGAATAAGATGGAACTTTAATTTTCTAAAATTTAATGCTTTTTTTTTAATTTAGTGGCAAAATGTTGACAAGTGCTAAAATTGGGTGATGGGTAAAATGGGGACTCATCACATTGTTCTTCCTATGTCTTATTTCGTATCAAATTTCTTGCTAATAAAATTGTTTATTTAAAGAATTGTGGATGAAGGAGAAGAAGGACAAAGCAGCCGATTGCCTGTGTGCAGAGTGATATGCAAACTGGCACCA